CTTGCAGTCCAAGCCGCTGGACAGTGTGCTCCAGTCGGTACAACAGTCGATAGCGAGTAGTGGACACTTGTTGTCTTTGGGGACTTGAACTGCAAATTCAGTAACAGATAAAAAAAATACGGGAAACCCCAATCAATAAGAATTAGCTTAACTTTTTGTCTTATTTCAAAGTCGACAGGGCCTGTGCCAGCACGTGATTGCTGCTGGTATTTGCTACCAGTTCGGCCAATTTCTAATGTCGCCACCTCTCAATGAGAACAAATTCGGCGGATTTTTTCTCCTGCTTTTTTACTTTCTCACTATTTTTAGGGGCCTGCCCGTACAAAACCCCCCTTTTACATTGCTTTAGTATTTTTAATATGCTTCCAAGAAAATATTTCTGTAGCGATATCATACGGAAGATATCTGTGCTTTGCTCATCAACAGGACCGGGCTGACGAATCTGCTCAACTCGCCGGCGCCGCTTTTTAGGGTTTAGCAGGGTTGCCAACGGCAGTTTCAGCCTTGAATCACCTCATTCACTGAAAGAGACAGCAAGGAATTCAGGATTAGTAGAGTAGGAGGCAGCGGTGGGGGGAAGAAAGGCAGACCAGACGGGAGCGGGGAGGGGGAAGGAGGGAATAGGGTGTCAACGATGAATATAAACGCAAAGGAGTACATTTGGTGTCTTTATCGTAGTATCCGATGCCACAACTTCTTGTTTCGATTTTCACACATCGCCATTCCTCATGCCCACCCAAGTGGACGACAAGCTGCAATCATCGTTGCTCAGAAAGTGGAAAAACCAATATTAAACGGCCTGATGGTCTAATGAAAGAGCCAGGGTGCGCAATCAACCGCTGCCAATTTTGTCAAAAAAAGCATGTTCAGCAAAACCCCGTAGCTTACAGGATACTGAGATCAGCCTTGACATCCACTCGCTACGTAATTCATAACTTCTCCCAAGTACTAGTTTTATAATTCCTTGATTTAGCCCTTTTTTTTGGTTAATCACTTTCAAATGAGCTACGACTTCTGCCATCAACTGAATGCATTTTAGTCCAAAAATCTGACATTGCTGTGAATCAATCTAGTCATCTCGTTCGGTCCAAAAATTTTCTAAATCAACCGAAAACCAAGTGCAACCACAAGTTCCTTGTTGAAAGTTTCAGAATTCTTTTTGTTACACTATTCTCTGCTTCAAACCTATAACTGCACTGTCAACGGAGTGCATGTTCATTTGGATGCACGATCCACCACTTTTCACCAGTGTTTTCCTCGCTGTGAAGGTCTGCGCCAAGCAGAGGGGAACGGAAACCAAAAATAAGGACCAACGTCAGGGTGATGCTTCGTCCACAGTTCGCAAACTGCGCTCAGCACATCGTCATATGCGACCGGCATCACGCGACTGACAATCCGCGCATTCGGCAGAATATCCCCGATCCCTGCAACTCCCAGTAGTTTCAAGAAATTCAAAAAATTGCAACTTATTACAAGCCCACGAAATTATTTAGATATGTGGATGACATAGTGAGGATTTTACATTTACAAAATGGGTCAGTTTTCCGGCTGTGTTTCATCTCTTAGCTGTAAACACAGAGAGAGAGAGTACTGGATGTGCGTGGTGGTTTATTATTTTTATTATTTTTTCATATATGTTACAGTACTTTTCTCAAATTTTAATTAGTTTCGTCAGACTCTCGTGCCTTTACTACCGGTTCAAAGGTTCCACCTTTATTATATTTTACAGGTCCTATGTAGCTTCAATATCTATAATGGTGGAGGTTTGTTTTCGTGAATGCACTTACCGTTTTTCCTAACCCTTTTACATTTTCAAAATCCCCTTTTTCTTTTTGACAGTTTGCTGCAACCGTCACACTGACGAGGTCCAGTTGCAGCACTGAACAGGAATGTATGCGACTTAATGGACCGAAACATTCCTATTCAGGTTTTTTAATCCGATTTAGCTTCTCACCTTCCTTTTATTCCTTTTTAACCCTTACTTTTTACATAAATACACATCATCTAAAATTAAAATTACAGTGAGAATCATCAGTACAGCCGCCTTATCGCCATTTAAGAAATAAGAGTGACCTTTCTCGGTGATATGTCGCACCACTTGTTCACTGGGATTCGTCTGCGGGAATGAATCGAATGGACCGAATCCTGTCAGAACTACAGTGAGCTGCTCCTGCGGCTGCTCCATCATGCCAGTATTTCTGAAATTCAGCTAGCAATGAGCAGACCGGTTCATCCAGTAAAAGCCGTAAGCATATCTGTTTTCGTTAAATTCTTTTTTTTTGCACACACAATTTAATGAATCTAAAATGTGTCAATGGGAAATGCGCACCAAACCGATTCCCCGTAATGCCGAAAACCGTTCCCAAAAACTGTGCGTTCTGGAATATACCGAGAATTCCGGCATGCAGTATGTTGTGACTTAAAGATCAACGTATAGTGATGCTGAGATGAGCTGGTATTCGCTCGTTCAAGGGACAGCACTGGCCAGCTCAGACATTTTAACCAGCAAACCAAATGGCACCACATTTGGCAAACGGTTTCCTGAACCCGATGCCAAACTGTTGAAATCACTTTCATTTGCTATTTCATGCTTCCTCAATGATTCATTACCCTTTGTTACGCGTTTTGTGCTGCGTAACAGCAGTACAAAACGCATATTGTCACGGGGTTGTTTGTGTTTGTGTATGCCCGCAGCAACTTGTCCGCAACTTTCAACTCGGGAACCACAAAAGCTACGAAGCTGAAAATTTGGGGGAACGTTCCCCACCCACGTGTGACCCCGCAAATTTAAATTCAGCTTCCCCGTACCCGCGAGTAACGCGTACGGCCCTGTGAAAGTTTTTGACGGGTAAGTTAATATCTCGGAAACCACGGAGACC